CCGAGGAGCACAGACGTCCCTTCTGTAAAATCCTTGATAGAAGGTAAGTCCTGAGGACAGGCTGGTGTAGTGCTGCTGAGCGGGAGAGTGTTGTACGTAGAAGAGGGAATGATCCTCGGTCCAGTTCATCAGGGCAGGCGCAGGCCTGTGCTGGGCTGTGCTGTTGTGGTTTGTGCTGCATAAATCCCTGGTGGGCAGGAGAAACTCCGAGAGCTCATTGCATCCGAGGAACCTGCAGGCAGCTCCCCCTTGGCCCTGGAGAGAAAGCCACCAGTGAGCAACGAGTCCACGTGGGACAGTCTTTTCTGTGACAGCAGATGCCATGAGTGGAATTGATTTCTTGCAGAAAGGACCTATGTTGACTTCAAGGATGGAAGCGGCACCACCCTTCCATTTCTATGACTTCGGTCTGTATGGCATCAAGTGCGTGGCTTGATTGATGTGTGAAGCTTCTGTGCTCAGGCTTCTCATCATCTAAAGGGACATAAGATTCTCTATGCTGATCTCTTTCAACACTGTGAGCTACAACAGAGTTGTGAATAACTCTGTAGAGAGTCATCATTTCTCTCTTGTTGAGGTGACAAGGATCCAGCAGCTCCTGTTCCAAAACAGCTGTTTCTGGGGTCGTTCCATGTGGAGCATCTGGGTGTCTGATGTGGTTCATGACTAGAGAAGGAGAAGCCTGAGTTCCTCAACAATATTTTTTCCCCAGTCTTCACTGGCAGTCTCTCATCCCACACATCTCAATCGGATGAGCCTCCAGTCAGGGACTGGGCGAGCAAGTCCCTCCTGCTGTAAGAAAAGATCAGGTTTGAGAGCACCTGATTAACCTGGAGATACAGAATGTGTGGGAGCCAAGGAGGTGCTATCCGCTGCTATCAAAAAACCCCACCACACACTCAAACACAGGATCCTGAGGAACCTTCTGGCCCTGGAGAGAAAGCCACCTGCAAGCATGGAGTCCACGTGGGACCTTCTGTTACTGTGACAGCAGAAAGGATGAGTAGAATTGCTTTCTTGCCGAAAAGACCTCTACTGACCTCAAGGATGCAAGGGGGACCACTCGTATTTTTTTTCTATGACCGGTGTCTTCCTGACATGATGTGCTCGGCTGAAGTCCCATGTGAAGCTACTGAGATCAGGGTTCTCGACACTTAAAGGGACATTAGATCCTCTACACTAACCTCTAACAATACTGTGAGCTATAACAGAGTTGTGAATGAATTCTTAGAGACTTGGTGTGTCTCAGTGAAATGACAAGGAAGCTGACGAGCGAGGGAAGACAGCAGTCAGTTCGACACGAATGATAGAGCAATCTTCAACCTTTATTGGTACAACATATTCTTATATAGACAGCAGCGTAATTATGCATACGTATTGGTAAGCCATAGGCTAAGTTAGAAAGATTACATTTTTATATCCCTCCCCCTTGTTGTTTGCTTATTCAGTTCAACATTCGTCTTGACTTGGCTTGTCTCCAGCAAACTTGTTTACCACTGCTTCGTCCTTGACATTCTTCATGTATCAGCAGCTGCGAGCAGCGGCAGGCAAACCCTAGTGAGGCCCAGCATCAGCCCCTAGAACAGGCTCTGATCGTACAATTGCTCGGTGGGCTCAGGACCCTCGTCTCTGAGCCATTCTCCAACAGGAAGCAGCACCTCTTGGTGTAAATCAGCTACTTCTTGGGTCATCCCAGCTCAAGCACGTGGATGTCTGATGTAGTTCGTAACCAGAGAAGGAGTAGGCTGAGTTCCTCATCAATACTTTTGCTTCTGTGTTCACTGGCAGTCTCTCATGCTGTTGCAGTCACCCTAATAAAACATTTTGAATCCTAGAATATTACTTTGATTTTAGTTTAAAAGTATGATTTGGATTTAACATGAAGCTACAGTAGCTAGAAGAATATAAAGTACACTAAGGCCCTTAGGATTAAGCAACTAGTATGCTGTGTGCCTTGAACACTCTAAGAATCGTTATGGACTCTGAATTAACACAATAGGTACTGGTCATGGATCTTGACTTGGTACAATTGGTACCAGAAGAAATTGGTTTGGTTAGGAAGATCAGCCAAGGGAGAAATGAGCATTAGCCAAAGATAAAATGTGCATGCTCAAGGATGGAGTTCAATCAGCGGACACAGTGAGGAAGACTATTGACGACCACCAGAGGACCCCCATCCAGTATAACCACGCGTGCGTTAGAGACATTTGCATATGATAATAATTTCCAGGAAATAACATGAATATGCTAATCACTGCCATCCCCCCATTCTATTTAAATGAATCAGTAAAGATGACCAATGATTTCTGTACAATAGGAATATAGTTAAGGTGAGGTAACTGAAAGACAATCATTATCAAGGTCAACTTAAACTTTATGAATTTTGTTGATCTTATGTAACTATGACTCTGCTGAAAAAGTGTATAAATATGTTGTGTTTTATACCTGTCGGTGAACAAGTCTCTGGCGGATTTATCCCCCGTGTTCCCCAGTGCTGGAATAAAGAAGTGCCTGCTTATCTGCTGTGTGTAGATAAGTTCTTTAGCGATTGCGACCGCTAACAATGCCACACATCTCGAGCGGATGAGCCTCAAGTCAGGGACTGGGTGAGCAAAGTCCCTCCGACTGTAAGGAAAGATCAGTTTTGAGCGGACCTGAGGAAGCTGAAGATACAGAAGGTGTGGGAGCCAAGGAGGTGCATCGCAGAGTCCTGAGAGAAGTGAGGGTCCTGAGGCTGATGCAGTTGCCAAGCCACTCTCCAGGATATTTGAAAAGTCATGGCACTCCGGAGAAGTCCCTGGTGACCGGAAAAAGGGAAACGTTGCAGCCATTTGGAAAAAGGTTTGCAAGGAGGACCCTGGTGTGGAATAATTACAAAAATGACCAAAATCCAGCATTGTTCACTCATTACGGAATGGTATAAAATCAAAAGGCGTCTAGGGCATAACACAGCTGCAGCTGTTGTGCGAAGAATCCACCAGGACATCTGCGATTGCTGGGATAATATTTCTTGCAGAGCACCACGGGGGGTGAATTGGGCTGGAGAGCTCAGGTCTCTCCCTGCGATGGTACAGCAGGTACATGAACAAGGGGGAACTACAGAACTGACAAGCTGCATACTGGCTACCCCGAGCCAGACATCCTGTTGGATTTTGATGAAATGCTGTCCTTTGTGCGAACTTTGCTCGTTACAAGGTCATTACAATAGCAAAACACAGCTCCATCCCAAAGGCTGCCCGCCGCTAAGGTGCGACCACTCCTCTTTGACTCCGTGCCCTGTGTTTTTGTAATGTCTACCTTTAAATGTGAAGCGAGAGGATTTTACACCAACCATACTGAAGGTATTTACGTCTAGAGTCACTCAAACTCCAGCTGGAAGGTAAAAAATAGTATAAAAATAGCCCAGGGAAGTTGATGGAAGACACCATCGTGTGAACTTCTGGCATCAGTTGATGGGCTGAGCCTCTCTTTCCCTCCCCGTATGGATGCCTTTGGGTAAGACTTAGGAACTTAGAAATGTTTCTAGAAAGTCCCTTTGGCATTTCTATAGCCTGGCTGTACTGTTATAACTTTGTTGTGTGCTTTATATATCCTCTTATTTGCACGTACTTTCCAGGCAGTGTATTTCTCACCGACAATCATAAGGACCTCTATATCTGTCACTTAAATAAACTGGACTATTTAAATAGCTAGTCGTTTCAGTTTCTCACTGAACGCGACCAAAGAGTGGCCGTGCTAGTTCATGAGCATGACTAGAGTGAAGGTGCCGTCCACTATTAGTGTATCCGAACGGTAACAGGTTCATATATTGAATACGCTTGGACTGAGAGTGTTGATTTGGTTCTCTCTGAGATTTTCTGCCTTAACCAGTTGACGTGACAGCTGGGATGTACTGACCTGTCAGCCTGAGCTCTGTGCCTGGGCAGCTCAGGGAACAGATCCTCCTGGGAGCTCTGCTGAGGCACCTGGGGGACAGGGAGGTGCTTGGGGACAGCCAGCACAGCTTCACCAAGAGCGAGTCTTGCCTGAGCAACCTAGTGACGTTGTGCGGTGGAATGACTGCATCAGGGGACAGGGGAAGAGCTACGGAAGTCGCCTATCTGGAGTTCTGCAAGGCATGTGACACGCTGTCCTTGTCTCCAAATCGGAGAAACAGATGGAATTGCTGGATGTACTATTATGGGGATAAGAATTTAGCTGTGCCATCGAATGGGGAAGGAATTTAAGGCCGAATTTACAGGAGAAGGAATTGAATGGACTACTGAGTAGACAAAAAGGAATCGGGTGGGCTGCCAGGTTGAGGGAGTGGCCGTCACCGCCTCCGTGTCCCTGTGGGGATCTGTAACGAGTGCTGTCCCTCAGGGGTAGGTCCGGACACTGCTTAACCTCTTCCTCCCCGGAAGGGAGAGCGGGATGGCGCAGAACCTGAGCGCCCCGGGGGCTGACAGCAAGCCGAGTGGCGCGCTGGCCGAGCGGCCCGGCGGGCGACGCGTGTCGCGTGTCCTGCCGGCGTGTCCGTGGCGGGGCAGGGCCCGGCCTGCCGGGAGCCCGGCGCGCACGCCTGCCCGCGGGCTCTGGGCAGCGGGGGAGGACGCGGGGCAGCTGCCGGCGCTGCCCGGGCGCTCGGGCTGCAGCGGCGGCCCCGCCGGGCTCTGGGCGCTCCTGCCCTGCGCTTGCCGCCCCGGCGCGGGGTGCGCGCGTCCTGCCGCGGGGCCCCCACGCGTGTGCGCGTCCTGCCGCGGGGACCCCACGCGTGTGCGCACGGCCGCGCGTGGCCGGGCGAGCCGGCAGCGCGGGCAGCGGGCAGCGGGCAGCGGGCGGCGGGCGCAGTCCCGCCGCGGGCCGCAGGGTGGTGCTGCCGGCCAAGGCGGCGCCGAGCGGCTGCGGGCGGGGAGGCGGCCGAGCCCGGCCCGGCCCTGCCCAGCCCAGCCCAGCCCAGCCCAGCCGGGCGGCGGCGGCGGCGGCGGCAGCGGCGGCGAGCGGTGCCCCGGTCTCCCCCGCTGCAGGGCCACGGCGGCCGCGCTCGGCGGAGGACGGCGCGGGCGCCCCGCGGGACGGAGGCTGCCCGCCGCCCCGTGCGCCATGGCGCCGGCAAGGCAAGTGCTCTGGCTCTCGGCTCTCCTCTGCCTGCCGCCCGCTCGCTGCCAGCCCCTCCGCTACTCCGTAGCCGAGGAGGGCGAGCGCGGCTCCGTGGTAGGCAACGTGGCGGAGGACGCGGGGCTGGCCCCGGCGCAGCTCTCGGCTCGCCGCGCCCGCCTGGCCTCGGAGGACGGCCGGCAGCACTTTCGCTTCGAGCGCGGCACCGGCCGCCTCGTGGTGGCGGAGAGGCTGGACCGGGAGGAGCTGTGCGGGCAGGCCGGGACGTGCACGCTCCCCGTCGAGCTGCTGCTGGCCGACCCGCTGCAGTTCGTGCGGGTCGAGGTGGCCGTGGAGGACGTCAATGACCACTCGCCCGTGTTCCCGGAGGAGCAAGTCACACTGAGGATCCTGGAAATGAGCAACCCGGGCTCGCGTTTCCCGCTGGAGGAGGCTCGGGACCTGGATGTTGGCAGCAACAGCATCCAGGCTTACAGCATCGCTCCCGAGAATGAGTACTTTAGCATCTCCTTTGGGAGTCGATAAGTGCTGAAGATAAGATTGTTGAACTAGTCCTGGAAAAGCCGCTAGACCGAGAGGAGCAGGCGGAGATGAGTTTCAGTGTCATTAGCCTGTGGATGGGGGCTCTCCCCCCAGGAGCGGGACCACCCAAATCCAGCATTAGTCATTCTAGATGTCAATGACTAATGCTCCCAATCTTCACGCAAGAGCTGTATGTTGGGCAGGTTTTGGAAAATGCTCCAGAAGGCTCTGTGGTTGTCAGCGTGGTGGCAACCGATCAGGGATGCAGGATCTAATGGGGACATCACTTATGAATTCAGCCAAGCAGTGGGGCAGAGCAACTCCGCTTTTGGGATTGACCCTGTCAGCGGTGAAATTAAACTCACAACGCCTCTGGACTATGAGGCAGCAGAGAGTCACGAGCTCAGTGTGCGGGCCAGAGACGGCGGGGGACTGTCGGCAATCTGCAAGGTGTTGGTGGAGGTGGTGGATGTGAATGACAACGCACCGGAGCTGGTGGTGAGTTCCTTCAGCAGCTCCCTCCCCGAGAACGCGTTACCCGGGACGGTGGTGGCCCTCTTTGCTGTGAGGGACCGGGATGCCGGTGCCAACGGGCAGATCTCCTGTGCCCTTGAGGACCAGCTGTCGTTCTCCCTGCGGCCGGCCTATAAGAATTACTACGAGCTGGTGACTGTGAGCGAGCTGGACCGGGAGGAGACGGCTCGCTACGTCCTCCCTGTCACAGCGGCGGACGCGGGGTCGCCTCCTCTGACGACCACCCAGACCTTCACGGTGGCCATCTCCGATGTGAACGACAACGCGCCTGTCTTCAACGAGACGTCGTACACCATGTACGTGCGAGAGAACAATGTCCCCACGGTGTTGGTTGGAGCTGTGAGCGCCTGGGATGCTGACGTGGGGCCCAACGCCAAGGTGACCTATTCCCTGGCCCCAGCGCAGCCCGCAGAGCAGCCTCCCTGCTCCTGCCTCTCCATCAACTCAGAGAACGGGCACGTCTTTGTGCTGCGGCCCTTGGACTACGAGCAGGTGAGGCAGGTGGAGGTGTGGGTGATGGCCTCTGATGCGGGGACTCCTCCTCTGAGTGCCAATGTCACCGTCCGCCTTGTTGTGGTGGATGAGAATGACAATGCGCCGCTGGTGCTGTACCCGGCCCAGGGCAGCAGCCCGGCGCCCAGCGAGCTGGTGCCCGTTTCGGCTGAGGCGGGCTACCTGGTCACCAAAGTGGTGGCCGTGGACGCTGACTCGGGTCAGAACTCGTGGCTCTCGTACCACCTGCTGAGGGCCACTGAGCCCGGGCTGTTTGCGGTGGGTGCCCAAAGCGGGGAGGTGCGGCTGAGGAGGCCCGTGACCGAGAGAGACGCCGTGAAGCAGAAGCTCGTCGTTGTGGTGCGAGACAACGGGCGGCCACCACTGTCAGCCACGGCTGCGCTGAGCGCGCTCCTGCTCAGTGACTTCTCAGACGTGCGCATCCCCCACAGCAGCCCGGCCACGGAGGACGACGACGGCTCCCTGACAACCTATTTAATCATTTCCTTGGTCTGCGTCTCACTCCTCTTCCTTGCGTCCGCCGCAGCCTTCATCACTCGCAAGGTGTGCAAGAGAAAGGAGCTGACGCCTGAGCGTGGGCTTTATGGCCCCAGCAACTTGCCGAGGGTCCCGGCTGATGCGGCCGCTGCAGGGACCCTGCCCCACGCCTATTGCTACGAGGTCAGCCTCACAACGGGCTCGGGCAGCAGCGAGTTCCAGTTCCTGAAGCCCATCCTCCCCAGCCTGTCGCCACAGCACCGTGCCTACGGGGGGTGGCACCGATGAGGAGCTCCAGTTCCCCCATGGCCCTATGGCTGTGGAGGACACGGCACCGGGGGACCCAGGGACGCTCTCTGCCCAACACTCCCACAGTCTTGCCTTTAACTAGCTCGGAGGCAGCACGGCCAGAGGCTTCGTGCCCCATGACAGGAAGGGATGCAGGCTACTGCGTGCGGCCGTGGTTCCTCCAGAGTAAATCTGCATTTGCGATTGGCATCACCAATTTCCCACAAATTTGAAGGGAGAAGAACTGTTGTTTCTCCATCCCAACCACCAACCAACCAGCCGAGCAAACCTACACCTCCCTCATGCTGGAAAGATTTGGTTTCCTCTTCCTGACAGATATTTCTGAAACTCTTTGAGAGTGGGATGACTTCCAAGATCCCCCACTACGTTTTTTGTCAGACTCACTGTTAGGCAAGACCATGGAGTTCAAATTCTGTGTTGTAACTCACCGGTGTGCTCGGGCAGACCAATCGCCTGCTCGCTGAATTGCACGTAGCGCTGGTCACAGGCCAGAAAAGCAAGGAAGTTGTGAGTACTGTGTCCCAATGTGGTGCATGCACGGGGCTCATTCCTCTCTTTCTCTTGGGGGTCTGTCTGGGAGGTGTGTGGGCTCTGTCTCTCTGTCTGTCCGTGCAGCCGTTGGGTGTGTGTAAATGCTGCGCTGGTGCTGCCCGGTAAAGCGGGGAGTTGCGCACATCGAACTGTTGCAATGTGCACAGTCCCAGCTCAGCGGGCACGGAGGGTCTATTGTCCCCTTGGCTAGAGAAGCCACATCTTGTCTACGGGAGAGCAGTAAAACACAGGAGCTGTCCCTTTGGGCCATGAGAGGGGCTGGGTGGGTGGATGGGCTGCCTGCTTGGGAGTGCCCTGGAAGTGCAGCAGCACCAAGGGTGTTGGCACAGGCTGTACCTGGACAGAGCTGGGAATAGGTGTTGCTTTTCTACACGTGCAAGAAAAGTCCAGAAGTTGTTTCCAAGGTATTGTCTGAAGGCAGAATCAGGAGGAACTTGAAAAAGGACTGTTGAGTTTGACCTCATCATCATTGTTCCTAAATTCAGAGGCTTCTTGATGGGAGTGGAAAGGTGTCCCAAAAAGATTTTTTGGGTTTGTGTTAGGGCACGTGCATTCTCTTTTTTACCCCTTCTCCTTTTACTCTGTGAACCTTGTTGAGCCTTGTGTTGCCTATTTTGCCTGAGAAGGACTGTCACCCCATATATAATAATTGATTGTTTGAATGAAGGCCGTGTGGCACAGGGTATTCAGAGAACCTCACGCTGTTATGTAGAGCAGTTGTAAACTGCATCGTTGTAACCCGGAGTACCCTTGCGTGTAAAAGTGAAATAAAGAGAACCTGTGAATGCCTTGTGTGGAGACTGGTCTTTGTAGCAAGGTTCTTTCTGGGAATGCTCTGCCAAGTTTTCAAAAAGGCTGGGATTTTTTTTTCTCCTTTTATCCCTTGGCTGAGGTGAAGTTGAGCAGGTGAATTGGTTCAGTGTGGAGACGTGTCCGATAGAGCATTTGGGGAAATTGTGGGGAGCAGGGAACTACTGCCAGGCCTCTGTGGGATTCTGAGCAGTGAGCTTCTGGCTGTGAGAGAGCCCAGTGAGCTCCAGGCCAGGGGAAAGTGTCGCCTGGGCTAAGAGGGGCCCTGGGTGTGCAAAGGCCTCTGCAAAGCAGTGAGGTGGGAGCAGTGACCTTTCCAAGTCTCCCGACAGCTCCTGCTGCGTGTAGCAACTCTGGGGTGTTTGAGCACAAAGTCTTTTGATTCTAAAGCTTTTGGAGGGATAGATGGATTGACAGATGGATGGATGGATGGATTGACAGATGGATGGATGGATGGAGGATGGATGGATGGATGGATGGATGGATGGATGGATGGATGGATGGATGGATGGATGGGTGGATGGATGTCACCAAGGCAGCGTGCGTGTTCCCTTGGGGAAGTATTGGGTGGATTCCCGAGAGGTGGGCAAGAACTACTGCCCAGGAGAGGATTCCCTCTCCTGAAATGCCGAGGAGCACAGCCGTCCCTTCTGTAAAATCTCTGATAAAAGGTAAGTCCTGAGGACTGGCTGGTGTAGTTCTGCTGAGCGGGAGAGTGTTGTACGTAGAAGAGGGAATGATCCTCGGTCCAGTTCATCGGGGCAGGCGCAGGCCTGTGCTGAGCTGTGCTGTTGTGGTTTGTGCTGCATAAGTCACTGGTGGGCAGGAGAAACTCCAAGAGCTCATTGCAACCGAGTGTTGTGGTTTGAGCCTTGTCGGCAGCCCAACACCATGCACCCACTCTCTCCCCCTTCTCTTCCAGCAACTAGAAGGGACAGAGAGCCAGTCTTGGGATTCAGGATAGCACCATTAGTGGAAAATCACCCTTTATTGTTACAAGGAAGAGGCAGACTCGTTATGGGAATGAAAAAAGCATGTATTTTTTACAGACACTAACATCACTTAACAGAGTAGGACAGTGAGAAGCATTGCCATATCTTGAGAACACCTTCCCCTCACCCCTCCCTTCTTCCCATGCTCAGCTCTGCTCCCGATATCTCTACCTCCTCCCCCAGCGGCACAGGGGCAGGGAATGGGGGGTGCAGTCAGTGCTCCCAGTTTTTCCATCTTTGGTGGGAGGAGCTTCTGGAACTTCTTCCCCCTGCTGCAGCGTGGTCCCCCTCTCACAGAAGACAGTCCTCCAGAAACTTTCTCTGACATGAGTCCCCCTCACAGGCCGCAGTATTTCCTTACACTGCTCCGGTGTGTGTCACCAACTTTCTCTGACTGGAGTTCCTCCCATGGGCTGCAGGCCTTCCTGAGCTGCTCCGGTGTGGGACACCCCCACATGCTGCAATCCTCCCAGTGCTGAACTACAACAGCAGGGCTACCTTTTCCCACAAGACCCTGACCTTCTTCAGGCACAGCATCTTGATCACCCAGGCAAAAAACAGAGGCCATAAATCAGTGTCTGCTCCACTGTAGATCTTCATGGGTGGCAGGGGGGGCTGCCCTGCCATCTCACCACAGGATACAGCTGGGTCTCTGCCCTGGTACACCTCCCCTTTCTTTTCTTCCTCCGTTCCTCCACTGACCTTGGTGTTCATGCAGCTGTTGCAACTCCTCCTCACAAGTCCGTTCTTAAATACGTTATTGCAGAGATGCAGTGCAGCCGATTGGCTCAGTTTTCATGCAGAGGTTTAGTTGACTTCAAGCTGGGGGAGCTTCAGGAAGCTTCTCACAGGGGGCCACCCCTAAAGCCCCCACCCCTGCTATCAAAAAGCCCCACCACTCACTCAAACACAGGACACTGAGGAACCTGCAGGCAGCTTCCCCTTGGCCCTGGAGACAAAGCCACCTGCAAGCAAGGAGTCCACGTGGGAACTTCTGTTACTGTGACAGCAGAAATGATGAGTAGAATTGTTTTCTTGCAGAAGAGGCCAATAATGACTTGAAGGATGGAATCAGGCCACTCTTTTTCTTCTGTGACGAGGGTCTGCCATGGCATGATGTGCTTGTCTGGAGTTGTGTCTGAAACTACTATGCTCATATTTCTCCACATCTCAGGGGACATAAGATTCTCTATGCTGATCTCTTCCAATACCATGAGCTATACGAGTTGTGAGTGACCTCTCAGAGTGTCAGTGTGTCTCTCTTAGTGGATGACAAGGAACCAGCACCTTCTGGTGTAAACCAGCTGCTTCTTGTGGTCATTCCAGCTCAAGGATCCAGTTGTCTGATGTAGTTCATGACTCACTGTTTTATTGTGGATTTTACCCTATGAGAGTTGAAGGCTCTTTCCTTTACCGGAGGGCCTGAACACACTGCTGAGCTTTCTGAGGATATCATGCGATGTGCCTTTTAGGAAGCAATGCGGTGGGCAGGACTTGTCAGAGACACTCTCCAGGATTCATGTCCCGTTAATCTTTAGGCTCCGTTATAGGGACGATCGCAAGCTCGGTGCAGCAGCAGGCTCAGTTGGAGGAGCAGGAGAGGGAATTCGACAGGGCCGAGGGATGGAGCGCTGCCGTTCCCGGCTGCGGCGGCGAGTGTCGCTGTTGGCTCACGATGGGCCACGGACGGGCGGCGGCGGCCAGAACAACGGTGAACCGGGAGGGAGCGGCGGGGCTGATGGACGGAGCCCGGAGCGGAGCGGCGAAAGCGAGCCGAGCCGGGCTGCCTGGGGAAGGGGTGGAGGAAAGAGCGTAGCGAGGAGTCGCGGAGAGGCACCAGTGGGCTGAGGGGCGAGCAAGCAGCTGCTGCCGGGCTTTGCCATGGCGGAGAGAGAAGAGCGCCGGGGCCGGCGGGAGCGAGCCCTGCTGTGGTGCGTGCTGGTGGCGGCGTGGGAGGCGGCGTGGGGGCAGCTGCGCTACTCGCTGCCCGAGGAGATGCCGAAGGGCTCGTTCGTGGGCGACGTGGCCGCGGACCTGGGGCTGCAGCTGCCGGCGCTCGGCCCCCGCGGCGTCAGCCTTGTCTCGGCAGGTAGGACGCCGTATTTCGCCCTGCACGGGAAGACGGGCCATTTGGTGACGGCGCAGAGGATAGACAGAGAGCAGCTGTGCCGGCTGCAGGAGAGATGCGTGTTGCGCTGCGAGGTGATCGCGGAGGGGGAAATGCACGTTTACGGAATCGAAGTGGAGATCATGGACATTAACGACAACGCGCCCATCTTCCCAGAGGCAGAAACGCAACTGAGAATAAGTGAAACGGCAGCGCCGGGGTCGCGGTTTCCCCTGCGGGACGCGCACGATCCGGACTCAGGACGGAATTCGGTGCAGAGATACGAGCTGAGCGGCGACGAGCACTTCTCGCTGGCCGTGCGGGCGGGCCCCGGCGGGGAGCAGCGTCCCGAGCTGGTGCTGGCGAAGGCGCTGGACCGGGAGGAGGCGGCGTTTCACGAGCTGGTGCTGAGGGCGAGCGACGGCGGCGAGCCGGCACGGACGGGCACGGCGCGGATCCGCGTGGCGGTGCTGGACGCGAACGACAACGCGCCCGTGTTCGGGCAGGCGGAGTACACGGCGCGTGTGCCCGAGGACGTGCCCGTGGGCTCCACCCTCCTCACCGTCACGGCCTCCGACGCCGACGAGGGGACAAACGGGCACGTTGAATACACTTTCCACAAAATTTCAGAACATGCTTCGGGACTTTTGAATATCGACTCTGAGACAGGAGAAATATCCCTTAAGTCAGATTTAGATTTTGAGGAAATTTCTTCTCATGAATTGGAGGTGCAGGCACGGGACATCGGCGAGTTTTTCGACACGGCGAAAGTGGTGATCACAGTGACAGACGTGAACGATAACGCGCCCGAGATTTCGGTGAGGTCGGCGCTGAGCGAGATCTCGGAGGACGCCCCGTCGGGGACGGTGGTGGCCCTGCTGCACGTGCAGGACCGGGACTCGGGGCCGAACGGCGACGTGCGGTGCTCGCTGGGCGGGGGCGTCCCGTTCCGGCTGGAGCGGTCCTTTGAGGACTACTACCGCGTGGTGACGGCGAGGGAGCTGGACCGGGAGGAGGTGTCGGAGTACAACGTGACGGTGCGGGCGGCGGACGGCGGGTCGCCGGCGCTGTGGAGCAGCGCGGTGCTGGCGCTGCGCGTGCTGGACGTGAACGACAACGCGCCGGTGTTCGCGGAGGCGCGCTACAGCGCCCGGCTGCCCGAGAACAACGCGGCGGGCGCGCTGGTGCTGACGGTGCGGGCGGCGGACGCGGACTGGGGGCAGAACGCGCGCGTGCGGTACCGGCTGGCGGAGGGGCGGGTGCGGGGCGCGCCGCTGTCGTCGTACGTGTCGGTGCAGGCGGAGACGGGCGCGCTGTACGCGCTGCGCTCCTTCGACTACGAGGAGGTGCGCGAGGTGGGGCTGTGGGTGCGGGCGGAGGACGGCGGCGCGCCGGCGCTGAGCAGCAACGTGTCGGTGCGGCTCGTGATCGTGGACGAGAACGACAACGCGCCGCAGGTGCTGTACCCGCCGCCGGCGCCGGCGCCGGTGCCTGGCGTGGGCGCGGGCGCGGGCGCGGTCGCGGTCTGGGCGGGCGTGGAGCTGGCGCCGCGCTCGGCGGAGCCCGGGGCGCTGGTGGCCAAGGTGGTGGCGGTGGACGCGGACGCGGGTCAGAACGCGTGGCTGTCGTACGAGCTGGCCAAGGCGACGGAGCCGGGGCTGTTCCGCGTGGGGCTGCACAGCGGCGAGGTGCGCACGGCGCGCTTCCCGCTGGCCCGCGACGCGGCGCGGCAGAGCCTGGTGGTGGTGGTGAAGGACCACGGGCGGCCGGCGCTGTCGGCCACGGCCACGCTGACGGTGGTGCTGGCCGAGAGCGTGGCCGAGCTGCTGTCGGAGCTGGGCAGCGCGGCGGCGGCGCCGGGCGAGCCGGCCGGCAGCCTGACGCGGTGGCTGGTGGTGGCCGTGGCGGCCGTGTCCTGCCTCTTCCTCGCCTTCCTGCTGCTGCTGCTGGCGCTGCGCCTGCGGCGCTGGCGCCGCTCGCAGCTGCTGGCGGCGGGCAGCGGCGCCTTGCGCGGCGTGCCGGCCTCGCACTTCGTGGGCATCGACGGCGTCCGCGCCTTCCTGCACTCCTACTCGCACGAGGTGTCGCTCACGGCCGACTCGCGCAAGAGCCAGCTCCGCTTGTCGGGCGGCAGCTGCTGCGACACCCTCCCGGCCCGGCCGCCGCCCGACGAGCCCTCGGGTGATCTTCTCTTGACCGGAGATCATGTTGCCGAAAACGGTTGCCAAGTTTCCTTTCAGGTACGTTAATTTTTTTTTTTTTAAGCCTTTTTTTTTGTGTACGTGGTTTTTAGGATTGTTGGGGTAGCTACAGACATTTCAGTGTTCACAGTCCTAGAAATCACGTTTTATGATGGTCACCAGCTAATGAATGTCACCTCCTGAATGTGTGCTGAGTCTGTTATGTGTGTTTTATGTGCCGTGCTCTCTGCTGGCTGGGTAGAGTTCATCATATCTAGCTTTTGCTAAGGCTGGAACATTCCATTGCATGTGCAATTGCACAAGGAATTTGCAGTGTCTAGGTCTTCCTCTCAGACTTCCTTGAAATTGTTTATGTACTTCCTCGTACCTAGTTGTCAGAATTTCCTTTGCATCCTGTGTTTCAACTCTCAAATGCTGATATAATTGAGCAATCTTGTAGTTCGAAAGCCAAGACCTCTGAAGTCCCAGGTTACTTGGAAATCCTCCTTCAACAAACGAATTTATCAATCCCACTTGAGAAGACTTAGAATTCTACAAATAGGTTGGTATTACACAGTGAAAAATTCTTAAGATATCCCACCGAGTTTTTTCCCACTGCTCAACTTCATAACTGAACTTTTGGAGTCGATACAAATGTAATTGTTGAATAATGTACAGGCATAGACATCAAAATAGAGTGTATTTACTAGAATAGAGATGGAAAAATTTTTAAACACATTATAATTCGTTACAGTCTCTGTTTCGTGTGTCTAATTTCAGAATTTCAATTAATCCGAGAATTTGAAATATTTTAGTCCTTGGTTTCCTTATAATATTAAAACACTTTTCCCTGCAAAACACGTCATCCTGTCCTGAAAGCACGTCTACTAATCAGGCTGACTTGGAAGCAGCCTGCCCTATTTTCTCTATTACTGATCTTTCATCATGAACTGAACAGGCTTTTAGGACTTCAGGAATATAATTAAGGAATACTATTACATTGCTCTATTCGTTATTCTGCTATTTAAGCTGGTGATACAGTGTATCATTGCATTTTAAACAAAATAAACTAGTGGCACACAAAAATGACTGCTTTCAATTTGAGAGGAAAACATACTGTAAGGTTCCTGGGGAATGTCTGCACAGATGTTTTTGTACTGATCCTAAATCTTACCAAAATATTGTGAATTTGTACAAGTACTTTTGTGTGTGGTGAGAACAGAAGCTGAGACTTAACATAATGCTTCACCTGAAATAACCATGTGGTCGTTCCTCCTTTCTGCTGCCATCCATCAGACACAAATATGCCATATGCATGTGAGAAGAAAATATTTCCCTCTCTGATGCAGGCTGGTTCTTAGCTGTTTCGTCCTGGAACTTAACTGTGTTATGGCCCTCAGGCTCGAGTACAAGGGGGAAGAGAAAATCCTGGAACTAGGAGACATCAACCCCCTCTTGAAACCCGATTTGGAGGGTGTTTCAGTGTGTGAAGGTGCATGAAAATGTGTGTCTGGTTTGTGATAGACAATGCTCGCCATACTGGAAGCAGTGAATTGACGCCAACTTGTTTCAGCAGAGTCCCCCCTGTCCCTATATAAATATCCATATCCTTCTCTCGAAATCATATAAAGATGCCCACATGCTTGCTGCATCTTGACTCTCAAAACACTACAAATTCAAACCAAATTCCCCTTTTAATGAGTAGTTAGTTTGTTACCGTGAGTCGTGTATAAGTACAGATGGAGGAAAATAAATTATTCTCCACTGAATAAATGGCAGGAGTTAGCAGGAAAACATTTTTTTAATGACCTATTACTGAGAAGGGGAGGAGGTCTTCACGTTGGCATCTGCAGAGACTCAGCGTTGGTGTATATGCTGGAACTCCTCCACCAGGTAGGTAGAATGGAGACTTTTCTAACCTTTCCTTGTCTTCTGCATAAGGGGTTGTGGTGATACAGCTTTCCTTCAGGTCTTTTTTTTTGTTCTTCACCATAGAAAAGGTTTTAATGTACAGGCGAGGTAGAGTGGCTTTTCGTGAGGGATCACTTATTCAAGCAACGGTAACTGCCATCAACCTTTGCCAGAATATATTCTTAAGGTTTGAGTCCTGTTGAAGTAACGGCTGGCTCACGGAGAGATGAGGATGTAGTTTGTCAGAGACACCGACAAAATAAATTCGGAATTGGGTTGTATGGCACTGACATGATGATGCTGGGTTTTGAATGTCGACAGAGATGAGATCCTGTAGGTCTGGTGTGACAGCTGTGATTTTCTCAGTGGCTGGGATTCCCGGCTTTCCTCGTCCATCAGCGATCACCGCTGAAAGTGGAAAAGCTGAGTGCTAGCTCTGGATGTCCCAGCTATCGAAAATAAAACCGCTATCTACGAGCAGGGCTTCAGCATTCGTCCCGTCTTGCCGTTTCTCTTCCCGTGGTGAGGAGATGGCAGCGGGAACACGCCAGCGCCTCACCCTAGACACCGCTAAGATCACTGTGGGGCAGAGATAGAGATCCTTCCCCATATAGCCTCGGAGCAATGGAAGAGGATTTGTCCCGCAGAAGACTTGCAAGTGTAAGCAATCCAGACAATGGGAACTTATAGACGTAGCGTTTCAGGACAGATACAACTTTTTTGGTTTCACGCTACCGACAACATCTGTATTTTTCAAGCCGCGTGTGAATGCGATCTAAGGACGTGTGTAGCAGGACCATCGGGCTGTCGTTTTCCTCTGGAACGCTGCGGTTCTCGGACACGGACTCAGGGTGTCACTGTTGGCCAAGGCGGAGAAGCGGCTCCGCCGTCGGCTCCTCCCCGGCTCCACCGCCCACGGAGCAGAGCAGAGAGAAGAGCAGGAACTGGCTGACTCAGCCCGTTCTCCGCCCGGCGGCAGGGATTTCATTTATTGATTTCTCTCAGGTACTGATTCATCTGCTCTGAAAGCCTAATTTCCAATCGTCTGCAGAGAATGGAGGTCCGACCGGCAGCGCAGGGCCGGGCAGCCGCTGGGCGGGTCGCGCTGCTCGCCGTGCTGCTGCCGGTGTGCTGCCCGGTGGCACCGGAGCGGCTCCGCTACGCCATCCCCGAGGAGCTGGGCAGAGGCTCGCTGGTGGGGCCGCTGGCGCGGGACCTGGGGCTGAGCCCGGCGGAGCTGCCGGCACGCAAGCTGCGGCTCGTGGCTGGTGACGAAAAGCAATACTTCACTCTCGGGGAAGATAATAGAAACCTGCGGGTAAACGAGAGGATAGACCGAGAGGGCATCTGCGGGGCCGTGTCGCCTTGCGTCCTCAGTTTGGAGGCCGTCGTGGAAAACCCTTTCAATATATTTCATGTGAGCGTTACTATCCAGGACATCAATGACAATGCGCCGCAGTTTGACAGAGAATCTGTTGTCATAGAAATAATTGAGTCAACGCCTCCTGGAGCCAGGTTCCCACTGGGCAGTGCAAGAGACCCCGACGTTGGGGCAAACTCATTACAAAGCTACCAACTTACGCCCAACCCGATCTTTTCCCTTGTAGTGAGGGAGAGTCCCGAGGGGATGAAATATGCGGAACTGCTACTGGAGAAAAGCTTAGATCGAGAAAAACAGAGAAATCATCGTTTGATACTAACGGCAGTGGATAGCGGGGATCCAGTCCGATCCGGGACCGCCCAGATTAACATTAACGTGACCGACGCAAATGACAACGCGCCGGTGTTCACCAAAGAGGTCTACAAGGTTCGACTACTGGAAAACCTGCCAGAGGGCTCCTTAGCTTTTCAGGTGAAAGCTACTGACGGCGACGAAGGGACAAATGCAGAAGTTACCTACACTTTCAGTGACATCGCAAACAGTGCTAGACAACTCTTCACTCTGGACTCCAGGACAGGGGAAGTGAAGATTACAGGCCCCTTGGACTATGAAGAAGGGAAGTATTACGAAGCGAGTGTTGAAGGAAAGGATGGGGGCGGGCTGAGTGCGCACGCCAAAGTGCACATAGACATTCTAGACGTGAACGACAATGCACCAACAATTTCCCTCCTGCCTATCTTAAACCCGGTACCCGAAGACTCAGTCGAGACTACAGTTGTAGCTGTGATCAACGTCCGTGACAGAGACTCGGGGGATAACGGAGAAGTGAGCTGCAACATCGACGGCGATTTGCCTTTCAGACTAGAACTGTCATCAGAGAACAGCTATAAACTAATAATAGCCAGTGCCCTGGACAGAGAAACGGCTTCTGCTTACAACATCACCATCACCGCCCGGGACCGGGGCAGCCCGTCGCTCTCGAGCCGCGCGGCGCTGGTGCTGGAGGTGTCGGACGTGAACGACAACGCGCCGGTGTTCGAGGAGGCCGCCTACAGCGCCTACGTGGCGGAGAACAACGCGGCGGGCGCGCCGGTGCTGCGCGTGCGCGCGCGGGACGCGGACGCGGGCGCCAACGGGCGCGTGAGCTACTGGCTGGCGGGCGGCAGCGCGGGCGCGGCGCCGCCCGTGTCGGTGGAGGCGCGGAGCGGCGCGGTGTACGCGCAGCGCTCCTTCGACTACGAGCAGTGCCGCGAGTTCGCGGTGGCGGTGCGGGCGCAGGACGGCGGGGCGCCGGCGCGGAGCTCGACGGCGACGGTGCGCGTCTTCGTGCTGGACCGCAACGACAACGCGCCGCGGGTGCTGTGGCCGGCGGCGGGCGCGGGGGCGGGCGCGGGGGCGGCGGCGGGAGCGGCGGCGGGAGCGGCGGGGCCGTTCGAGGTGGTGCCGCGCTCGGCCGAGGCCGGGTACCTGGTGGCCAAGGTGGTGGCGGTGGACGCGGACGCGGGGCGCAACGCGTGGCTGTCGTACGAGCTGGTGCAGGCGCCGGAGCCGGCGCTGTTCCGCGTGGGGCTGCACAGCGGCGAGGTGCGGACGGCGCGGGCCGTGTCGGAGCGGGACGCGGCGAAGCAGCGGCTGGTGGCCGTGGTGAAGGACCACGGGCAGCCGGCGCTGTCGGCCACGGCCACGCTGCACGTGGTGCTGGCCGAGAGCTTGCAGGAGGCGCTGCCGGAGCTGAGCGAGCGGGCGGCGGGCGCCGACTCGCCGGCGGAGCTGCAGTTCTACCTGGTGCTGGCGCTGGCGCTCCTCTCCGCCCTGTTCCTGCTGAGCGTGGCGCTGGCCGTGCTGGCGCGGGTGCGCCGGGCCGGGCCGCCCGCCGTCCTGCGCTGCCTGGGCGCGCAGCGCTTCTCCGCGGCCGGCGCCGCCTTCCCGGCCGACTTCTGCGAGGGCACCTTGCCCTACTCCTACAACCTGTGCGTGGCGCCGGGCCGCGCCGTGGCCGAGGGCGCTTGGCCGCCGCCGCCGCCGTTGCCGGTGCCCAGCCTGCCCGCGGAGGAGCTGCTCGGCGGGGAGCCCTGCGGGAAGCGGAGCCCGAGCAGCAGCGCCGGCGCGGGAGAGCCGCCCGCGGAGCCCGACGCACCGCAGGTCTGGAAGCCCGCGCGCTCTCGCTGCTCTCCCGCAGCCTCTCGGAGCCCCTCTCCTCTTTCCCGCGGGCCTTGCGCGGGGGCTGTGGGCGGGGAGAGGGCGGCGGTGTCTGCCCGCGGGAGGGAAGGAAGGGGAGAGGGGAGGGCGCATTCCCCTGCCCCCCAGAGCAGGCAGTGAGACGCGGCACTCCGCGGTTTACCAGCTTCACCCGAGGTGTTTCCTCTCCAGCTCCAGTGTTGCCTAAAATCCTGTGAGCTGGTAACGGTGACCGCGGATCCTTCCTCATGAGAGGAGCGAGATCCGCTGATTCTGCATGACAGGTTGGGCACTGACACCTGGTGTTGGGGATTTTATCCTGGAGCAATGAGCAATGCTCTTGTCCCTGTTTGCTAGCTGGGCACAAACCCGTTAGTTAGCGGGTTGTCAATTTTGGACTCCCAAAGAAAATGTGTCTGTGGCTCCACGAATGGAAAAAGCGACAGATTCCTTGTACCCTGTGAAACAAGAGAATCCCCCTTTTGGGGACTAGTGCTGATCCGTGCCTCCGTGAGGGAAGGAACGGAATAAGGGAAGGCGCATCCCCCCGCCCCTCAGAGCAGGCAGTGAGCCGCGGTACTCCCTGGTTTATCAGGCTC